GCAACAGACTGATGTATTTCATAGGGAAGGGGCGGGGAGGAGGGATGGGAAGAAATTAACCAAAGAACTTATATGCATACTAAAGGCCCGATGCATGAAATCCATACAAGAGTAGGCCTTCCTTCCCCTGGCTGCCGGCACCAGCTTCCCTCTGGCACCCCAAACCTGGGCTTCCCTGCAGCCACAGGCAGGCACCTGGGACCTGGGCTTCCCTCGCAGCCCTGGCTTCAACCAGAAGGTCATCCAGAAGGACGTCCGGAAAAACGTCTGTTCTAATTAGCATATTATGCTTTTATTATTATAGATCTGCATAGCTCATGGACAAACAATAGTTCAGGGAAGGCCGGAGGAGGGGGCAGGAATGGAATGGAAGGGGGTCAATGAAGGAAAAAAGGGGGCATCTGTTATACTTTTAACAATAAAGATTAAATAAATAAACAAATAAGAGAGAAAATGTTCCAAAGAGATGAATTGGAGAGAGACAACTCTTCTTAAAAGTTTTTGCTTTAAAGGGGAACAAAGAGCCCTGGCTGGTGTGGCTCAGTTAGTTAGAGTGTTGTCCATAACCAAAGGGTTGTGGGTTTGATTCCAGCCAGGCTTTGGGTTCGATCCACAGTTGGGGCACCTATAGGAGGCAACTAATTAATGTTTTTTTCTCAAATCAATGTTTTTCTCTCTCCCTATCCCTTCTTCTCTCTCTAGGATCAATGCAAAAAGCTATCTTTGAGTGAGGATTTAAAAAAATAAAATAAAGGGAAACAAAGAAATGGCTTAATCTTATAAATATAATATTAAGCAAAAGAATCTATGAAAGAATGCCTCCAGAAAAAAGAGACATATGTAATACTTTAAACAACAAAGAATTTTAAAAAAGGAAGAAAGAAGGCCTCCTATCAATATATATAAAACCCTAATATGCAAATAGACCAAACAGCGGAACAACCGAACAACCGATCGCTATGATGTGCGCTGACCACTAGGGGGTATGCATGGAACATGGTGGGCGTTGGCAGCAGGCAGCAGAATGCGGAACATGGTGGGCTTTAGCCATGGTGGTGAGTGGAAGCGCCAGACCAAGGCGGGGCACCAGTTGCTGTCATCAGGCTGAGCCTCTGGCCATTACTGAAAATTCTTTGCTCCCATGCACCACAGTCCCACTGGGCACTTGCACCTGCTGCCGGCGCTGGCCCCGCTCACACCCGCTGCTGGTGCCCAGTGCTGGCCCTGATCACTCAGTGCTGTCAGTGGGTGTGAGTGGCGGCTACCGGCCCCAATTGCCCCTGAGGGCTTTCCACCTCCCCCTGCTGCTGAAGGGCAATCAGAGCTGGCAGCCACTGCTCACACCCGCTGCCAGCGCCAGAGCCGCTGCTCACACCCACTGCTGGCGCCCGGCGCTGGTCCTGATCGCTCAGTGCCAACAGTGGGTGCAAGCGACTGCCAGTCCTGATCATCCCTGAGGGCTTCTCTATCTGCCCCTCCTTCTAAAGGGTGATGGGGGCAGCAGCTGCCGCTTGCACCCACTGATGGTGCCGGCCCTGCTCACACCTGCTGCTGGTGCTGGCCCCTATCGCTCTGTGACATCAGCATGTGGGAGTGGCGGCAGTGGCGGGGGCTGCCAGCAGACAGGGGACAAGGGGCCATGGTGGGAGGGGCAGAGTGGGGGCACGGAGGATGGGCCGAGACCTCCCCCTGTGTCCACCACAGCCTCCCAGCCCACAGTACCTTTCAAGGTGCATGAATTTGTACACTGGGCCCCTAGTATTTATATAAAATTCCAAAAAACCCCCTTGTGATCAGGAAGGATAAAGGAAAAGGTTTCAGAGTAATAGCAATGTGTGTTTTTCCTTACATGGTGAATAGTGGGGTATTTGCCTATTGTCACAAAGTTTTCAAAAGTATTTGAGAAGACCAGATTTAAATTAAAATTCTAAAACATTATATACATAGGTTTGGCCAGTTGGTGAACATTTGTACCTTTCTGGTTTAATTAAAAGCAGGATTTGTAAACCACAAAAAATCTTAAGAATTAAATCAGACTATAGCCATTTTCTTCATTTTTAACTCCATAGAACTCTCTGTGTGTTTGGCTCTGAGTATGAGAAAATGCAGTACAGTAACTGCCAAAACATTCATTTTTTAATGGATATTTTAGTTTTATTTCCAAGACCTCCTGAGATATTGCACTTCACAAACACAAACCATTTGGTTATATAATAGTGATCTAAGTGTGAAGACATGACTGTTTTTTCTTGGTAAATTCGTGAGAGTAAAATCCCCACATTACAAAAGAGGAATACAGCTTCTGCCAACCACAATGATGCTTCTAAGGCATGAATGAGTTGGCTGTGGACTATGAGCAGTCAGATCCACCCACTGTTCCCAGTTGTTTTGCAAAAAGCAAGGAGAGCCCTAGCTGGTTTGGCTCAGTGGCTAGAGCGTGGGCCTGTGGACTGAAGGGTCCCGGGTTCGATTTTAGTCAAGGGCACATGCCCAGGTTGTGGGATCAATCCCCAGTAGGGGGTGTACAGAGGGCAGCCAATCAATGATTCTCTCTCATCATTGATGTTCCTATCTCTCTCTCCCTCTCCCTTCCTTTCTGAAATCCATGAAAATATATTTAAAAAAGCAAGGAGAAGCCAGGGTATATCAGTTCTACTGCTGGGCGTTCATTCAACAGTTTGTTGAACTCTTTGAACATCTGCTTCAAAGGAGATGATCATCTACTTCAGCGGTTCTCAACCTGTGGGTCGCGACCTCCTTGGGGGTCGAACGACCCTTTCACAGGGGTCACCTAAGACCATCGGAAAACACATATATAATTACATATTGTTTTTGTGATTAATCACTATGCTTTAATTTTGTTCAATTTGTAACAATGAAAATACATCCTGCATATGAGATATTTACATGACGATTCATAACAGTAGCAAAATTACAGTTATGAAGTAGCAACGAAAATAATTTTATGGTTGGGGGTCACCACAACATGAGGAACTGTATTAAGGGGTCGCAGCATTAGGAATGTTGAGAACCACTGATCTACTTCACCAGAGCATAAGAGAGAAGGCAAATGCCTGAATGATTGGTTTATGAGACTTCCAGCCCAAAAGCAAAAGGCCCTGAAACTAAGTTCAAATGTGTTCATAAAAGAATACTTCCAATCCATTCCATTCTCCCTCACTGCAGACAACACACATGCTGGTGGGAAGACATTATTTTATATCAAAGCCACCAAAAAAGCTAGACCACTTCTAAACCTATCCTAATGGCTGACGACTAAATCTTAAATAATTCTGAATTACAAGTGACAACAAAAGCCATTCTAATATTCTCTGTCTGCTTAAGCCAATAGTTGTCTGTTGTTGTTGTTTTAATAAAAAAGAAATGAAAGGTTCAATGACACTTTATAGTACACACTGCTTGTATAACTTCGTGTGTGTGTGTGTGTGTGTGTGTGTGTGTGTGTGTGTGTGTCAATTCCTAATTTCTGGCTTATCAGTTTAGTTAACCTCTGCTATTTTCTGGGATTCATTCCAAGCAGACCAAAATGCATTACTAAAATTGGCATCTCTGCTCCTGAGCTTGATTCAGAGAGGTTCTGAAGTGGTCTGAAACCATTTTTTTAATATTCTACACACAACTTTATGCTAAAAAGTAACAAACACTGTTCAAGATCAGTAATTGATAGGAAATGTGAAATTTTTAGTTTTCCTCCAAAACAATTTTTATGTATTCCAAATGTACAATGCTGAAAGAGAGTAAGTACTTTGCTGATGGCACATGGTTTTTTTTGCAATGTTACAAATACTCTACTGACTTAAAGTTGAACAAGGTTTTTTAAGGTACTGTGAGAGATGATCTAAGTATTTACACGTAAACTATATATTTCTGAACCCTTTTATAAGTGTTTTTTTCTCTTTAATTTTTGTTTGAAAAACCTACAGGTACAAATCATAAATGCCTATATACAAAAATGCCAAGAACCAATGTCATGAAATTATGAATCTAACATGCTAAAGAGTTCCAGAATTATACATTTTTTTTTAGTTGGGAAATAGTTATTAGAAGGCCCTCGGAATCCCAATCCAACCCCCTAATTTGACAGATGAGGAAACTGAGGCCCAGAGAAGTTAAGCTAACCAGTGTCACAGACAAATGGCACGTCATACCAAAATTCTGACTTCAAGTCCAAAGCTCTGAAAGAATATTTGTTTCCACATCCTTTAAGATTTGGGGAAAGAATTTTAACAGAGAACACTCTAAGCAACCCCTCACTATAAGGAACTCCTCCAGGGTTACAAGAGCCCGTGTCATCCTGTTCACAAACGCAAGGGAAATAGCACCCACAGCACCCAATTTCTGAGCCAGCCTCGTCAAACCTGAGATTTCCGAAATGATTCCCCAGTGGGGTCTCTTTTTCTCACCTCTACGAATCCCTTTAAACAAGCGCTTTAATTGGGATTGGGATTGGGTCTTCTGTTTTGTTTTTAATTTGCTTGAGGATAGCAGAAAAGGGTGGAAAGCAGAGGCTCGGGTCTATAACACACTTTTTTTTTTTTTCTTTTGTCACCCAAACCAATAAATCCTTCCTCCAGGACCCAAGGCTTACGGTTTAAGTCGCAGTCCCTTCCGTCCCAAAGTGTAGGAAGGAGACGGAAAAGAAGTTGGCGGGTTGGCCCGTCCTTTCCGTGGCGCCCGGCAGGTGCGCCCAGGCTCGCTGGCTGCCCTCAGTCCTGCGCCCCGATCCCCCTCGCCTCCGCTCCCCCCACCCCCCGGTTCCCAGCCCGGGGGAAGCCGAGAGCTCCCCGGCGCCCCTCCAGCCGCCCCCACCCCCGGCCGCTGGCCTCTCAGGTGGCGCCGCTGAGCTGCCCGAACTCCGGGTCCCCACGTGGCCCACGGGCTCCGGGCGGGCCACGCGCGCCCCAGCGGCCGGCTCCTGGATTCCCCGGGGCCCGAAGAGGAGGCAGTGGGGGAATGGAGGAGAGAGAAGCGGGTCTCACCTCGATGCCGGGGTCCAACCCAGACGGAAAGCAGAGATGGCGGCCGCACCCGGGCTCTCGCACTCGCGTGGCTCTGGCTCAGCCGGTGTGGACTCTGCAGTGGGGCGGCTCCAAACTCCTCATTGAAGGGGCCGGGCAACTCTCGGGAGAGTGGAGCGCAGCCGAGGGTGTGGGGAGGAGGGGCCGAGGGGGGACGGGTGGGGAGGGGAGAGGGGAGGGAGAGCGGGATGCTGCCAGCGCCCCTCTCCACGCTCGCTCCGGGGCGGGAGGAACGGACCCAGCGGGCGGCCAGGTGACCCGGGGCGCAGGTGACCGAGGCGGCGGCTGGGATACGGCTGGGGGTGGCCGCGGGGAGGACTACCGGGAGCTCGGGAAGGAGGACCCCCTGCGTTCCCTGAGGCAGAAAGCGGAGGCAAACCCAGCAGGAAGGCGGCGCCACTCCTGGATGCTGCCGTCAGCTACAGCGCGCCCACCTTAAGCCAGTGGTTCTCAGACTCTTAGTTGGCCTAGGAGCCCCCCTGTTCCTCAGACTTCCAGGCCTCTGCTCCATCAGGGGTGGGAAATGTGCCATAACGATTTCAGTAACTGGGGGGAGTGGGAAAGGAAAGAGAATTGAAAAGCCCAGGAGTAGTGAGGTAGTGAGTTTCCTGTAACCAAGGATGTCAGCCAACCATATTGGTCATGCTTGTAAGGAAGGCTGAAGAGGCCACTTAGGCATCAAGTGGAGGGCTGGACTAAATGGCCACTTACCTTTATCTTGAAAATTAATGGCTTTTGATATAGGAAAAAAAAAAACGTCCTTGACCAGTCTGATTCCGACCTCAAAGTAAATAGACATTTTCTTGCTCTCCACTCAAAATGTTCACCCATGGATCTGTTTATTAATTGAGGAGGTGCTGGGTGCCAGACAATATGCTAGGTGAAGTTATTATGTTCCTTGAACTTGGGGTTGTGGCAGACAGACAAGCAAGTATTCCTATAACTATTCATTGTGATGGATGATACAGGGTGAGGAAGAATGAATTAAGTGGAGTGGACATACTCTAGGTCGGTTGGATAGTTAATTTTAAAAGGTTTCTAGACATGAACTTACCCAACGCCCTCACAGGAAGAGGCATCAGAAGCGCAGAGAGAACGGAGCCCAGAGATAGATAAGGCCAAAAGCAGGTATCCTGTCTAGGTCCCTAGCCCAATCACTTGGCCAGTTTTGTTCATGGAACTTTTCCCCGTAGAAATATCTTCCAAGGACCAGTGTCACTTTCCTGAAGAGCATGTCAATCTCCAGACCACTTGTTGAGGCTACTTTATTCCAAAATTTCATATTTGTGCAATGAATGGACTTGCTGGGCCATCAGTGATAGGCAAAAATAACCCAAAAGCACTAACCTTTCGGTTTTCATCAAACCTCACAAAAACAGGTAATGTCTCCAGTGGGTGGAGACAAGAAGTGGAGTAGAGATACTGACTCTCCTGAATAATTATGAAATTAAACAACATAGCCGAATCCTTAATCAAATAATTGGTGTAAAATAGCATGTTAGGGTCCTAAGCTGCCTTAACAAATGACCACAAATTTAATGTTTAAAACACCAGAAATGTATTCTCTCACTGTTTTGGACGTCAGAAGTCCAAAGTCAGTGTGTCATCTGGTCTACACTCCCTCCCGCAGCTCTTGGGGAGAATTCTTTCTTGCCTCATTCAGCTTCTGGTAACTCCAGGAATTCATTGACTTGTTGTTGCATCTCTCCGATCATTGACTCCATCTTCACATGGTCTTCTCCTCTGTGTCTGTCTTCTTCTCTTCTGTCTCTTATAAGTACACTTGTCATTGATTTAGGGACCATCCAGAGAATCCAGGATGATCTCAACTCAATATTCTTGCTTAATTACATCTGCAAAGACCTTTATTTAAGTAAGATCCTGATAATGAACTCAGGTTTGGCTGGCTGCCAAATCAAAAACCAATTCTCAAGAGGGAGGTGCTAGTGCAAGGAAAGAGGGTTTATTCAGGTGCTGGCGGCCTGGGAAAAAGGTGAACTCCCATCCCCAAAACCATCTTAACATCTCAGTGTAGGCAGGGGTTTTTATTAGGAGGAAGAGGGAGAACAGAACAGAGAAATCAGGCGGAAGGAGGTTGAAACTTCTCTACCTGTAAGTCAGCAGAGTCCATTTCAATGATTTTCTCAAAACTGGTCAAGCAGAGGTCCGGTTTTTATGGTTGAGAATCAGCAAGTCTTCCAGAGCCAGAACAGTTGCTGGAGTCAGCCTCCTCACCCAAAACTAGTTCCTGGAACTCTTACACAAATATACCACCTATCCACGGATTACATATTAGTTAACAATACATCTATTACAAAAACACTTTTAACAGAAACACCATTAAAAGAATAGAGGGGTGGGTTACAACTACCTGCTATCAATTTTTCTTCCATTTCTATGGAAGTTTCTCTCTTTTTTCCCCCCTAACTAATTGGCAGAAGAGCCTTGAGATATTAATTTGGCATGAAATGCCAGAACCTATTGTGAGATATATTTTCTAGTTTTATCAGGAGGAGAAGCCTCAAGATGCATTTGCTTTTCAATCCTTGAGGCTCATTTACATATCTTATGATACATAACATGGTTAACTTAAATGTTATATAAAGGATTAAAATTAGTACTAGAAGGGTTAGGCCTAAATTTATAATTCCTTTAGTCCACTCAGTATCCTAATACTATTTTTGCTAACAAGTCTACAGATTTTAGCAGATTGGCAAGTGAAATAGCAGTTTCATTGGAGGTAATTATTAATGTTTTAGATAGGTTACATAAAATATGACAGTGGACTACCACTTTCCACCATGGCAGGATGGTATAACCAAAGCAATACTTGTCCCTGTCAGAGATGTATCCTAAAAGATCTAGGGCTACTTGAGCGAATAGTTTGAGCAAGGGAGTCCAGTGGCAGGTCTCATTTCCTGGGTCGACTGATAAAGGAGTAACTAATGATCCTAGAAAACATTGTCCAGCATCAGGCTTTGCCTGCAATACCTATAGATTTGGGTGAATTCCTCGAGTTCTAGAGGTGACAAAAAAGATGTTGAGGGTTTTTCTTTGCAATCTTCCAGGAAAGCAAATTTTGTTCCTTACCTGGAAAGACTGCCATGAACCATGTGAGTAAGCAAGGTACCAGGCCATTTCTGCAAGGGGCTTTATTTGGTTTCAAAGTCTATCTTAATTCCTTAAACCAGTGGTCAGCAAACTCATTAGTCAATAGAGCCAAATATCAACAGTACGACGATTGAAATTTCTTTTGAGAGCCAAATATTTTAAACTTACACTATATAGGTAGGTACATTGTTATTAACTTAATTAGGGTACTCCTAAGGCTTAGGAAGAGCCACATTCAAAGGGCCAAAGAGCCGCATGTGGCTCGCGATCTGCAGTTTGCTGACCACGGCCTTAAACCATTTTGGTGACATCCAGAGTTTAGGCATGTCTCTCTCAAACATGACATTTCAGTCAAGCTCTTGGCTAATATAACCATAATTGGAAACCAGTTTTGTGTCCTATTATAAAAAAATCAATTCTCATTTAATTTATGCAAACAAACATATTGTCATGGAAATAATAATACTCATTAAGAGTTTCTAAATTCTGGAGGGATCAGGTATGGAGACAAATATATAATTTACCAAATTGCTTTTAAAAATAAGTCTCCTTATGTCTGGCAAGTAAGAGGAAAATCCTTGTTGTTGTTTTTAACAAATTATAAAAGAATAAAATTCCAACACTGTATTATCTTACTTTGGATTCTTAAACTTATATACTTAGTTAAATTCATTATTCAGCTTACCTATATAATTTCCTTTCAAGATTTCTCTTCCCAAACCTTCAACAAACTTTCACAAACCTTCTTACCCATCTCTCTATATAAAAGCCTAAGCGACCAAATGACCAGTCGACCAGTCCTATGACACGCACTGACCACCAGGGGCAGACGCTCAATGTGGGAGCTGCCCCCTGGTGGTCAGTGTGCTCCCACAGCAGGAGCACCACTCAGCCAGAAGCCCGGCTCACAGCTGGTGAGCACAGCTGCGGTGGCGCGAGCCTCTCCCACCTCTGCTACAGCGCTACCAAGTGGTGGCAGCAGCAGGTGCAGCAGGGCCAGGATGAGCAGGAGTGGCACCTGGCCCCAGCTGGGGCTCCCCCCTGGCTGCCTGCTGCTTTGTGCACTGCTACATCCCTTGGGGAATGTTGGACTGCTGGTTTTGGCCTGATGCCCTCTGGCCCAGGCCAAGACCAGCAGTCTGAAATCCCCTGAGGGGTCCTGGATTGTGAGTGGGTGCAGGCCAGACTGAGGGACCCCACCCATGCATGAATCCATGCACCGGGCCTCTAGTTCAGAAATAACCAGCTTTAGAACAACTCATGTTCTTCCTTTACCTTCAAAAAGTATCTTCATGCTTTATACCTTCTATTCACAAAACCATAATTCTTAACTTTTAGAAACCTTAATTTTTTTAGTGACAACTAAAAAGTAAGCTATTAGCATTTTTTAGATTGGCAAAACACGCTTCATAACTTCTAGAAACAGGTTCTTTCATTGGCAAACACACCAGAGATAACAATTTTTTAAACCCAGGACTGAACAAACATATATTTTGTATTATTAACTCTAAAATAGATCATATACCATGATCAGTGGGGTTTATTTCAGGGATACAAGGTTGGTACAATATTCACAAATCAATGAACATGATACACCGCAGAAACAAAAGAAGGATAAAACCACATGATCATATTAACATGTGAAGGAAAAGCATTTGATAAAATCCAGCACCCATTTATGATAAAAAAAAAACTCTCAACAAAGTGGGAATAGAAGGAACATACCTCAACATAATAAAGACCATATATGATAAACTCACAGCCAAAATCATAATCAATGGGCAAAAACTAAAAGCATTTCTCTTAGATCGGGAACAAAACAGGATGTCCACTTTCACCACTCTTATTCAACACAGTTCTGGAAGTACTAGCTACAGTAATCAGATAGGAAGAAGAAATTAAAGGAATTAAAATTGGAAAGAAAGAAGTAAAACTTTCATTATTTGTAGATGACATGATACTGTATATAGAGAACCCTG